GCTTTGTCACCTTCAGTCTGCATTTAAGTTAGCATTACTGTAAAATTTCCCGCTGAGAAATTTCAACACAAGGAGGTTTTCTGATCTCTTTAAAATAAAACTGTTAAAAATAGACCCGGTGGGAACAGTTTTCCACTTCAAGAACAAAATCCTGCAAAAATGTTTTAATGCAGATTTGGGACCTAATTATTTTTTCCCACCTCAGCTTCACAGTAGTGACACTAGAGTCATATAGAGTCTGGCCAGCCAGCACCCTCCACACCCTGCCCCCCAGGGGGTTCTGCGTGGAGTTGGGCTTTGGCTCCCCCCCCCCTCCAGGGCTTCTCGGGGCAGCAGCTCCAACTATGACACCCTATGTCTGATTCTTTATTAATTTGGTGACCCTCCCTTGTGAGGGCAGGGAAGGGCTGGCCATTTCAGCTGTTCTGGTCTCTAGTTATTGCAGATGCTGAAGTTCATGCTGGACGAAGCTGAGCCAGCTGGAGGAAGAGCCCTGTGCAAAAGAGACTAGGATCACCATCCAAGGTCTTCAAGACCCTCAGTCATTAGGGCTAAATGCCCCCTCTGTCACACACTCAGCCATGGTCAGCTTTGAGATTCACCCAAGGACTATATATAGAAAAGTAGGTTCGAATTGGCCATATAGTTTTCTTATTTTAAATTTCATCTTCTTTCCCACAGACCAAGATAAGGATTTGCGTATGACATTTCTTTACATGATTTTGTTGTGGTTGTTTATTGTTGTAGTTTTTAAGACCTTAGAAAAGTGCCCAAGTCATGTAATCCCAGCGACTCAGGAGGCTGAGGCGGGAGGATTGTAAGTTTGAGACCAACTTTGACCATTTAGCAAGACCCTCAGCAAGTAAGTGAGACACTGTCTCAAAATTAAACAATTTTTAAAAAAGGGCTGGGGATGCAGCTCAGTGGTAAAGTAATCCTGTGTTCAATCCCGAGTATGAAGAAAAGTGCCTAAGACTTAATATATGCTTAATAATTATTCATTGAATGAAAAATGAATAGTAAACAGGCAAATCTCCAATCACTAGTGATGAGTAATTGTTTAATTTCATGTCATCTTTCTACTTTATTGTCAGTTCTGTACTTTGTCATGAAAAAGGCTCAGATGGAGAGAAAACCCATGTTAAGATCTTTTGCAAATAGTTGTAACACTATGGCCCACATCTTTTATTATTATTATTATCATCATCATCATCATCATCATCATCATCATCATCATCCTGTGTCTTTACTTTTATTAACACGTCAAAATGTCTTTTAGAAATAGCAAATAATTAAAAATCTGTTTTGTAGACAAGGAATGCAATGCATTTCTCCAAAATCCTATTGGACCACATGTGTGAGGGCATTTTTAAAAAGCAGTTTTATAAGATCCATCCTTAGTCTCTAGGTCTGGAGTCTAGTGTGTTTTAAAATAAATTTGAGTGTTTCTGAAATAAACTGCTCTTGCTTCTGCCTGTTTCTGTCATGAAGTTCTCAATTTTGTGTGCTCTTTTGCAATTTCTGCTCACACACACATACTCCTCCTTCCCCCGTCTCTAAATCCTATCATTCTTTAAAATTCATTTCAAGTGTCATTTCCTCTGGATACACCCCTCACGAATTAGATGCTTCTCTATCTTACTGCACCCTGATGCACTTGGAGTACTCTTGCAGCACATCTTATTCATCACTCTTTATTGTTGCTGTTTGATCCACGGTAAGATGATTAGATTCTTAGCACCTCTAGGCCAAGACCTGGATGTTACTCATCTCTGCACGGTGGGCATCTCATATAGTTTCTTGGCACCAATAGGTGCTCAGAATATTTGTTGCACGAATTCCCTTGTTTTCTGTACATGCTAAAGAAAGCACCTAGAGAAGAGCACCTCCTTTTGTGTTGGCTAAAGAAAGCACGTACAGAAAACAGTTAGGCTTAGAGTATAAGTAGCATCCAAATTCCCACTAGGCAGTTGCCCCCTTCACTCCCTGGAAGGTTTGAATTTCCAGCCTGGTTCCACCTGCTATAGCAGCCCCCCCCCCCCATGACCTCTGTCCATTGCCTACATGGGAAGAAAGGCCAGACATACATTTGTTGAGCTGGAAATCTGGAATTCCAGGTCTTGGTGTGGGTTTTTTCAGTTTTCCATCGTATTCTTCCCTGTCTTTCCCCATCCCCCCTTTCCTCCTCCCCCAACAGAGGGACTTGATAACTGATTATTTTGCTCCCTTAGAAACTACAAGGCTCTGGAAATAAGGCAAATAAAAGAGCAACTCTCACATAGTAAAGGCATCGCCTGAAACAGTTTGACATGTGCAGTTAGCACCCAGGACTCCGAACCACAGTTCTGCTTTTCATCCTGACATTTTTTTTTTCCTTCTCTATCCTTTAGCAGGTGATTCCCAGCTATAATATCAAAGCCTGGAGAAGAGCATCTCCTTTTGTGTTGGCAGTGTCTTTAGATGCCTCCTTCATAGAAAACCTGACCAACACTTAACAATATTTTTTTTTCCTTTGACCTGCAATTTAAACTCTTACATTTTTGTCTGACATATAGATAGAAAGGAAAATAACTGCCTGACCCTTTTATAGGATCCCCTTAGGGCTGGTTAGAAAGAAGTAATTCAGAAATTAAAATGGTGTTTTAAAACTGGCAGTGTTTAAAATGCAATCACCTGTATCTGGGATTTGACAGTGAGGAAGATAGAAAGGGGATGTGTTTGTTAGTTTCAGCTGTCATCAATATTGGACTCCATTTGGTTGAGAGAACTTTTAAGTTCATATTGTCAGTAGAGTGCTACCTACATTTTTATGGCCCATGATTAAGAGAGTTTAGCAGACAGTTGTTGGGATTATATCATACATAGCTAATCAGCCAATTACTATGGATAATAAGAAGAAAGAAGATAGGGTTATTACTTATAGTTTTAAAAAGTCATAGAAAGACATTAAATATATATCCATTCATCATCCTGCATTATGACACAGTCTAGCATTATGACATGGATGTTAAAAAGAAATGGTTATTTAAACTTAGGAGTTTCTTACTATAAGACTGACCCATTATGCCCAAATTTGCTTACCTTTTGGTTTATACTAATACTGAGGTTTACAGGGGTGAAGAGGATCAATGTCTTGGCAAAGAAGATAGCTAAGAAATTCTCCTAGGCTACTTATAGCCTCTCATAAGCCACACAGCCTGTCTTTCCTGGTAAAGGGAGTCATAGTATGTTATGTTTTGATGGCATTTTAACAAACAACCAGAATCACAAAACAGAGATGCCAAATGAATCTCCTCTGAATATTGATTAGCTGTTTTTATTTATGTGAAATTTGAAAATTGCCCTAATCCCATAGGGGTGCTTACCTTCTGACAACATTTTAGTTCTCTTCTTACAAATGAGAGAGAAGTCCATGTTGGTCTTAGTCATGCTTAATCATTTTCTTATTGCTTCCCTATTTCAGAGGAAATTGTAATTTTATTGTCAGGAAAAATTTGCAATTGTAGATGATTCTATGGTGGACTACTTTGAACTGACCGAAGTATTTACTGTGCTCCTAGTTGTTTGAGTTTTAGAACAAAATACCATAAACTGGATGGCTGATAAACAACAGAAATTAATTTCTGGACACTAGCAGTCTGAGATCTAGGTACCCGTCCAGTATGGCCAGATTCTGTTGAGGATCCTCTTACTGGTTGCAACCTGCCAGCTTCTCATGGTATCCTTACCTGACTGACGTGAGCACTCTTTTGGGGGCTCATGAGATCTCCACACTCATGACCAAATCACCACGTAAAGGCTCACCTCCCAATGCCATCACTCTTAGGATTTCAACATGAATTTTGTAGGAGACACAGACCTTAAGAGGACAGCAAACTCTACGACTTTTTCTCTCATTTCTCCCTCATCTTTGGAGAAAATTCAGACTCTATTATGTCAAATCCCATCTTGGTCTCCTCAGCCCTGAATTGGACATGAATTCTTCCCCTACCTCAGTATTTGATTTATGTATTTGAAGGTCTTAGAAATTAATGAAATAGTAGAATTTATGTTAGACACATAGTACATTATTGACATTTCTTTTCCATATTAAAATAATAAAATACAAATTTGAATAAAATACAATATTTTTAAAAAAAAAATTTAGCCTTTCTTTTAGTGATACACAATTAGCAGTTATCCAAACATGCCACAGAAAACATTAAAATCCACGCTTCATAATTTTAGGTAACTCTGTGCATCCAGATACTCTTCATTTTGTAAATTAGGCAATCCCCTAACATTTGATAGTGTTATTCTCAGTTCTTATCTGTAACTATACAGTCATTGAGCTGGATAAAATGTTGCAATGTAGCAATTAAGAACATCCTATCCCTTCTTATTTTTTTTTAATCCACAAGTTCAGTAAATTACTACTTGATTGTCTGAGTAAACAATATTACCTGCTGTGGCTGTCTTGTTGTAGAACAGAGTTCTGCATGCAAATTAACAGCGGTTTGTAATTCCCAGTATGACAGTATATTCTTCTATTATAATTTAAACTTCCCTCTTCCAACCCAGAAAAGCAGATTAAGACAAGACACACTGTCATCTCTAGTTCCTTGCTCCTAAGCAACCACACCCACTCCAGCCCTGCCAAGGGGATACTATGGGAACACATTTAGGAAACTACCTGAGTGTGCAAGATCATCCTTTGATGTCGCAAATACACTGTGCAATGCTTCCCCCAAAGCATGCACAACCTAATGACAATAGAGGAAATGCCAACTCATTTTCTCATTGGGAGATAGAAATATGTGTGGACCAGAATGCACATATCCATTCTTGCAACAGGACAACCAACCTGTGGTATTTCAGTGAGTGTGTACTGCATATGGTTCACTGTCAGATAATTTAACAACCAAGAAAATCTGCCTTGAATAAATTAGAATATATTTGCAAATTAATTGGTTAATTAGATTTTAGACATCTCTGGGGGACTGAGCTGAAACAGATGTGTGCAAAAGCCCCTCACAGAGCTGGGGCTGAGAGCTTCTTACAGAGCTCTCTGAAGGAAAGGCTCTAATACTTAAGCCTGTGGTTGGTGCTAGATATTCCGGTATATGCATTTCTGCCTTGCCATTCATTTTTAGAGGGACATGCTTAAAAGGTGCCCTACTATCTACATAATTGTACAATGAAATAATCAAAGGGCTTTTAGGGTTGATTCTTTCTCAATTACTTTAGGAAACCATATGGGGATAAAGTTCAAACTAAAGAAAGGCAAGGCTGGAGGTGTAGCTCAGGGGTAGAGTGTTTGCCTAGCATGTGTTTGCCTTGCATGAGGCCCTGGGTTCAACACGCAGCACTGCTAAAAAACTTAAAAAAAAAAAAAAAAAAAAAAAAAAGAAAGAAAGAAAGAAAAGGAAAGCATGTTAGGGTATATTTTTAAAATATCTGTGTTAGATACTACTCATATGGAAATTCCTTATAAATGTCAAAACCTGAGCTCTGACCTTGAAGTTAGCTGTCCTGGTTAGTTAGTATTTACCCTTCTGCTTTTTCCTCCCCTCTATAGCTTTAGCCTTCTTGAAATGAAAACTCACTTCATGAATTCCTCCAAATGCTGCTTTTAATGATTTTTCTTTAAGAGTGGCAAAGGCCTGTTTTCAGTAGGCTCCCAATCTCTCTATGCTTCATGCAGTGGTAAAATTGCCTTCTATTTCCTAGCACTTGCAGTGGGTAGAGGCCTCCTACTCCAGAGCAAGTTGCATAACAATAAATTAAATGTGGACCAAGGACTGGTTATGAATGAACTGCCTGGGCATGATTATGAATTCACTGTGAGCAGAGCCACTGTATGGCAAATAGTGTAGACTTCTGGACAATTTGCTAGAATTTGGAAACACATGGTACACCCAAGATCAACACAGACCCCTCCTTGCTCTTTCTGATTGATGCCCATCATTATATCATTACAATATCAGCTCTCAGATCACCTTTGTGTCCCCTGTGCCGGCAAGTCCTTAGCAGACAGCAGATATTGAATGTGGGTGGATATCCAGGCACAGCAGTGCTCAAGTGCTTGAATAAAGGCGACCCATTTCTTAAAATCATGGGAGAAGTTAGGATACAGGACATGTGTGAATGCCTCTGTGCCTCCCCTTTTACCCTGCAATTTCAGGAATATGTTGTTACCACATTTGATCAATTCAATTTTAATTTTGCTATGTATTCAGAAAAATGAGCCCTCATGGTAATAGCCGATGAATAATTTGGTCATCTTTAGATGAAGTTTTTTTCATTTTCCTAAATCCAGTTTTTGTGAAGTAAGGAGCAAAGCCTTAGAAGTATAGAAATGGCATTGAATCGTTTCATGATTGACTTTCAGCAGTGTTCAAGCTTGGGGTCCATTGTTTCTTGTGTTAGGGGTGGTAATATCACCTCATGCTATTTTCTTGCTTAATCTCTCATGGTAAAATGCATTTTTCTCTAAATCTTAAAAGGTAATTCATGATCTAAAAGACAATTGTGTTTGATGTCATTTTCTCAACTATATATTGAAAGCACTCACTACTCACCTAACATAAGAGTATTCCCAAGAGGGGGAAGTCTATGCTAGAGCAAGGGAATATGAATATTTATGGCTAAAGAATTTGAAGTACCCTTTCTTTCCAAAAAGAATCCACTAAAATGTAGCTTAATCAAATAGGATTGTTTTAAGTCAGGAACTTATATGCTGGTGGTTTTTATGTTTGACATTAGAATATGATACTATAAAATGAACTATTACATTGAAAAATGGGCTTTGTTCCCAGTATGCCATCCTTCAGTAAGGGCCAATGTGGCTAGAGCAAAATAAATTTACTAAGTTTATTTGATGTTTTATGGTGAGGAGGTTGATGTTTGGGAGGATTTGAGAAGTTTCTGCTAATTGATTTCATCCTGCATTTGAGACCAGAACATTCTCAAGCATCCAATACTCAGGAACTTGAACTGCCCACCAGCCCCTTAGCCAGCTCTGACTTGGATCTGAGTTAGGGTGGAATATGTGTAGAAGTTTGTCCTTCTAATCCTGTGGGCTGAGGAAACAAACCTCTACTTCATGGAAAAGTCAAGTTTCTTTACTCATTGGAATTCCTGTTCTAATACTCTATATCGGCAAATTGGTTTCCATTCCATTCTTCCCCATTTGGATGTGGAGGCCAACTCCGGCAGGTTAATTGGGGTCTGGAGGGAAGCCTTACCTGCTGGAGTGGGGGAGACACTGGGAGGGGGCCTGTGGGTGTTGACAAGAGGTCCAACACTCCAGGAAGAACACACATGCCCGGGAATACAAAGTTGTTCAAAAAGTGAGATTTGGGGGTAGTGGGGAGGTCAGTGGAGGAAGTCGAAGGAGTGAACTCTTGTCCACATGGCTGCTCAGAGTCTGGCATGGGTAACAGACCCTGCTTCCTGGGATGTGATTTTGACAAAACTTCAAAATTTGTTCTGAGACATGTTTTCATTGCAGTCTACCACTTGGTGGTGAGGACATGTGGAAGGATACACACACACACACACACACACACACACACACACACACACCCTTCCTACCCCTAGTGCAGGCACCAACATTGACTGAGAGCTTGCCAGAGGAGCAGCCATGTCTCCTAAATGATTCCCAGCACCCTATGTGGCTGGGGAATGTGACCATGTGCTGTTGGCTCACACGTTGATCATGTGCTGCCGCTAGGGTGATCAGTCTCACCTAAGCCAAAAGGATCAGGTGGCTCCCCAGAGGGGACTGGATGGCAGGAAGAAAGGCAGTGATCTTCTCGTGTGGAAACCCACAGGGATGCCATCTAAACCCATGGGACGCCACAGGTGGCTGCCTCTGACAACTGCCTGAGCTTTTTTCATCAGGTGTTCACCCTGGTGGAGGGATCTTTTACTTGGAGAAAAGCCAATAAACATGCTCTTGGCCAGCAGTGGTCCCTGGGTCTCAGCTCCTGAGCCTGAATATGAAGGAAGGACTTGGTCCCCGGAATAAGGGAAAAGTCCAGTTACAAGTGATTAAAAGGGCTAACAACCTTCTGGGCGGAATCCTTCCATACGGAGCCCAGGTTTCACTTTCGAGGTGGACCAGTTCTAGAACTGTGGGTTGAATGAGACCCACAAATTAGATGGTCATGCGTTTCACCAAGAGGTTTTGAGAAGTGCAGGGCTAGGAACTGACCAGCTTTATGCTGGAGCACATAAATGGTCTTGTTAGTACAGAGGAGCCAGGGCTGGGTTCATTGGTTGGTTAGTGGTCGAGTTTAAGAATGGATGTTTCCTCGTGGGGGCAAGAGAACTTTTAAAGAGGAAAAACACAGGAGTAGGGAGATATTCAGGGGGAGTGGGTAGATCTGAAACAGTCAAACTCTCTTTGAAGAGTGGTAGAACGTTATCAAGGATTTTACCCCCAAGTCTTTAATCCAGCCAATTTTTCACTGACTGAAAATCATTTTCATATGGCCATTTGCTATTTGGTGGAGAGCTTGGAATGAGCTAGTTAATCCCCATCCAATTCATAATGGGCAGGTAGCCAATTCATACAAACCACCTCGACAATCCACACTAATTGGTTTGTCTCCATGGAACAGCTAAAAATTGAATTACCACAGAGGTGGGCTTTTCCTTCCACCCACCCCTTTCTTCCTCCTCCTCCTCCTCTTCTGTGTCTGCTCCCACCACGGATTACCTCCCTGCCCCCCACCCCTGAAAAAAAATCCACACTTCAGTGATTTTGCATTCAAATAACATCAGTTTTTTTTTCCACCCATCTTCCTGGGCTATAAATTTCGAAGCTTTCTTTTTGAAAGAAGGGGTGGATTATATGTAAGGGAAGCAAACTAGATGTCCTTGGGACGTTTTCAGGGTGGTTTATATTCTTAGATCTGGTTTTATTGCCAAGGGTGGTAAGAAGGGAAGCTATCTATGAACAAAGGAAAATGCCCTTCATTTTTTGAAAGGCCAGGGAAACAGATTCCTAGACAAAGATTCATACAGCCTGGAAATAGTTTTAGAAAGATTTACCAACCCGCAAAAACTTCTTACCAGCTCATAGAATCATCTCCAAGAATGGCTAATCATGTGCTACTGGGAAATAACCAAAAAGGGATAAAAGTCTAGGTTTTTGTAATTTTAATAGATGCTGCTTCCTGATGAAATAATTATACTTTCCACCTGCACAGCTGGTTCTGAACCATCCTTCCCATGTGCAAGCTCAGCTGATTCTCTGGGCAATTCTAGGAGAAAGGTGTGGTGGGCAGTGCTTACCTTAGTTCGCTAGTGGACAGACAGTTCCACACTGCAGCAGATATATTTGTGCTTCAGAGCTGGGCTGAATCCTGGCTCTCTTCAGGTAGCCACTTAACCCCGTTTTTATCAGTCATCCTTGAGATGAAATTTCTGCTGAATTTACAATTTAAAAATGTCTTTTTAATGATTCTCTGATAGCTTGTGGGCTTTATTTACTTGCCTTTTGGTTTTGTTTTTGTTTTGTGGTGCTGGGGATCAAAGCAAGTGCTCTACACTGAGGTACATCTTGAGCCCCAGATTTCAGCAGTCTAAATCTTCGTACTTTTAGGAT